TCTCCTCCCTCGCTGATCGTCGCATCCTTGGCAAAACTGTCTCATCATTTCTGTCTTTCCAGATGGCGAATCTACATCAATATTTTCAATCGGTGAATATACCCCAGCCTTGTATGAAGCACATAATGACCATTTCCCGGTTTAATTATTAATTTTCTCTTAATATAAATAATACTCTGTTCAGCAAAATCAAACAGTATTTCGTCAGTCACCTATCTCATCCGAAATCGGATTGTTAGTTTTCCCAGCAGCCCAGGGTGGAACACAGTCGTGAAGAATATAGAGTGAGTGAGTGAGTGAGTTTGTGAGTGAGTGGGTGAGTGAGTGAGTGTGAGTGAGTGAGTGAGTGAGTGAGTATGGTTTTACAATATCACGGCAGGGACACCAGGAATGGGCTTCACACATTGCACCCATGTGGGGAATCGCTGGGCTACCCCACCACCCCATATATACAAGTATGTATAAAGTCAGTACATATGACAGTGGTTAGGGTGTTGGTTCCCCACAACATCTTCTAAACTCCAAGTAAACGATGTAATATCAGTTGTAATCAGTTGAGTATTTAGTATATCTTGAGCAAACAGATATAATTGTTTTATGTGTTTTATCTAATTTTGCATGCATATATTCCATAAGTCGATGCTTTTGTACTTTTTCTTTCATTCGTTCTACAAGTGACTATCAAAATGTTTTGAGCCTAAAATACTTCTGATATGTGCATGATGCAAATAACTGCATGAAATTGAAGAATGGTTTATATCATTCACATAAACGTAATACTGACATGTAGGGGTGGGTATTGCGGAGAATTTTCATATTGCGATGCGAAAGCATATATTGCTATGTGTATTGCAATATATGGCAAGCGGAAGGTCCTTGTTCTATTCGCCATATCGTCATATCGCCATATTACCATGTCGCCATATCACCACATCGACATATAGAAATATCACCATACCACCATATCACAATATCGCCATATCACCATGTCCTCATATCACGATATCGCCATATCACCATCTCAACAGGTCATCATGTCACCATATCACAATATCGCAATATTGCAGTATCACCCTGTCGCTATGTCGTCATATCACCATGTCACTAAATCACCATATCATCATGTCACCATGTCATCTTGTCATCCAATCAGCATGTCGCCATTTCCCCAAGTTGTCATATCATCATATCACCATATCACAATATCGCAATATCCCCCTATCGCCATAACACCATGTCGTCATATCACCATATCACCGTGTCAACATATCACCATGTTGTCATATCACCATGTCGTCATATCACTATGTCGTCATAGCACCATGTCCTCATATCACCATATCGCCATATCAACATATCATCATATCACCATGTCGTCATATCAACATATCACCATGTCGTCATATCACCATGTTCTCATATCACCACATCGCCATATCACCATATCACCATGTCGCCATATCACCATTTCGTCATATCACCATGTCGTCATATCACCATATCACCATGTCGCCATATCACCATTTCGTCATATCACCATGTCGTCATATCACCATATCACCATGTCGCCATATCACCATGTCCTCCTATCACCACATCGCCATATCACCATGTCGTCATATCACCATGTTCTCATATCACCACATCGCCATATCAACATATCATCATATCACCATGTTGCCATATCAACATATCATCATATCCTGTTGTCCCCCGCCGTGATATTGCTGGAATATTGCTAAAAGCGGCGTAAAACTAAACTCAGTCAGTCAGTATCATCATATCACCATGTTGCCATATCACCATATCACCATGTCACCATATCACTATGTTGCCATATCACCATGTCGTCAAATTACCACATCGCCACATCACCATGTCGTCATATTATCACATCGCCATATCGCCATTTCCCCAAGTCGTCATATCATCATATCAACATGTCGTCGTATCAAAATGTCGCCATATCACCAAATCACCATGTCCCAATATCACCACGTCGTCATATCGCCACATCGCCATATCACGTTTGCGCCATATTACCATGTCGCCACATCACCATGTCGTCATATCACCATGTCCTCATATCACCACATCGCCATATCAACATATCATCATGTCACCATGTCATTATATCACCATGTCGTCATATCAAAATGTCGCTATGTCACCACATCGCCATATCACCATGCTGCCATATCACCATGTTGCCATATCACCATGTCGTCATATCACTATGTCGTCATAGCACCATGTCCTCATATCACCATATCGCCATATCACCATGTCGTCATATGACCATGTCGTCATATCACTATGTCGTCATAGCACCATGTCCTCATATCACCATATCGCCATATCAACATATCATCATATCACCATGTCATCGTATCACCACATCGCCATATCACCATATCATCATGTCACCATGTCATCATATCAGCATGTCGCCATATCGTCATTTCCCCAAGTCGTCATATCATCATATCACCATGTCGTCATATCAAATTGTCGCTATATCACCATATCACCATGTCGCCATATCACCATGCTAAACTTTTCGATGCTACTTGCATGATTTTTACCAAAAGTGATCTTCCATGATATTTGAATACAGACTCACAGAAAATACTTGTGAAATTAAGACAAAAACGTCAAACATTCCAGTCTTGTGTATGATACCTGAAACCACGTTCATCACACTTAAAAGAGAATATTTCATGACCATCAGAATCAAAATGTACGTGTCAAAGGAGTCCCGTGTCAAGATATGTTCCGGTGGTCAAAGACACATTTGAAAAAATTAGATGGATTGACTGTGGATGACGCTGTGATCGCCTGCGACTGGTCCTTTGTGGCGATGCTTGACTGTCACTGTTTACCGTTAGTTTGTCCCGATAAGTTCGTGTCATGTCACATTCGCATGACCAAAGGAAATCTGCCCGCAGACGATTAAAGGTCTCAGTAATCAATAAATGAAATGTTCTTCAGAACACCCACATGACACGCTTATATACCTTCCTATGTTTTAGGCTTTCATTCAGTACATGGATAAAACATGGAGTTTAGTTTGAGGATGGATATCTGTCCGCTATCCGTATCAGTGAGAGAAGCGATGCAGAATTTGATTTTATAGTAAAACGTTAAAATATATCATCGTAATGAGAAATAACCATAATTCGTCATATAGAATATTATTACTTCGATGGTTGGGGAACCCAGTGTTACAGTAGTTGCTAGAATTTGCCGAAGGCCCGAGTTCGAATCCATAGGTGGGTAGAATGTGGGAAATATTCTCGGTTTCATATCACTGGAACAGGGGCGGATACAAAAAAACAACAAACAAACAAAAAACAAAACCCACCTGTGCTGGAAGGTTAAGACCATACCTAATTGGCTCTCTGCTTTCGTAACAAATTTTATATAAGAACTTCAGAAGGAATAACAGGATATATCTTACTCACGGGTACCTGTAGGATATGAAAACGTTAGCCTTATTCCGTGTAATGTGCATTTGGATGAAGAAAACTAACTCAACACAATCACTTGATAACAGCTTTTTAAGTTTGAATGTTGAATTATTATTTAACAGATTATATCATTGTTAGGCCTGTATGGTTCATCATTATTCCGACTAGATATGATTTTCGACAATTGCACTTCTAACCCTTAACCAATCCTGACACTAAACTTTCTAAACTTAATTTGTAAGTACAGTTTGAGTATAAGAAATCATATTCTTGAGGTAGAAGTTTTTGAAAGCATTTTTAATTATTTAAACGTGTTTTTGACTCGAGCGTATTTTGTAGGGTTTGGAGACAGTCAACACAATTATATGGTAATAGAGTGTTAGGACTCGTATGTATCTTTTGATTGCTCTTGATTGTCTCTCCTTTCTCATGTACTAATATGTGTCAGATGTAAATAAACTTTTAGGTATAAGAAATATTTTTGAATTAAACAATTTAACAATGTTTCATTTAAAGTAAATGTATAGTTTGGCATTTCCAGGTGGAATTATTTCTGCCTTGTCCTTTGGGACTTGGACAGTTCATTGTGCTCGGCGTATTTAACAAAATATATTCCACTAATTTATAGAAAATACTTATGTAAATACTTATGTAAAAAAATCTGCCCATAATTTATCAATTGAATGTCGAAGATACAAAAATATAAATGTAAATGAAAGAAAGTGTATCAATTGTAATTTTGACATTGAAGACGACTTTCACTTTGTTTTGACTTGTCCTCTATATGTAAATATCAGACAAAAATACATTAAGCCATATTACTGGGAAAATCCATCTGTCTTAACCCAGT